TTATTAAACAAGTTAAGTTCTCATAGTAAGCACACACTGCAGCCCATGCGTGTTTATGCTTGTGTGTGTATATGTATGTAATTGTTTGTGTATGTGTGTGTTTGTGTGTGTGTGTGTGTGTGTGTTTGTGTGTATGTATGTGTGTGTATGTATGCCTGTGTGTGCGTGCGTGCGTTCGTGTGTGTGTGTGTGTGTGTGTGCGTGTTTCTTGTGTAAGCTGAAAGACGCGAAAAATTATTGAAATAGCTATTACTCCACGGGTTCAGGGGATCTCGTAGTCGAGTAGTCTCGAATAGAGCTTTCTTACTTGTTTTTAAAGCTTTTTGTAAACATTTATTTACGATTCGGCGATCTCAAGCTTTATTTTTTATTGATAGCAATAAAATCTTTTCCATTTAGAAATAGTTCTTTATATTTAAAATTTTTTCTTCTCTAGTTTGAGGTGTGCTCGTATTATATTTATAACGGTATATGCTATACATAAATAGTTTAGTTCTTAATCGTATCTTTTCTTAAATTTATGTATACATATTCGATATATATATATATGTATATATAAATGCGGCCTTACCCTCCCATAGCAAATGGTTTTATGTCTCAATGATTTTCTTATCTTGTAGCTTTGTCGCAAATTTGATTGATCGATAATACAAGTTGTTTGTTTTTGTATCGAACAAAGCAATGTTTATATTTATATTGCCCTTGTTAATTTGAAGATATCTGCTAGTCGAGCGCATACCTTGGAAATATTTGTAGCCGTTTCTATTTGCTGAGTGCATTTAAACAATAATCCACTAACTGACGTCAACAAACCGCTTGCACTCGAAACACACTCAGCGAGAAATTAGTAGTGGGGAAATTTATCGATTTGTTTCATCTAAATTGCACAACTAACAAGCAGATACACGATATAATAGACAAATTACTTTGGGCTGTCAGTTGTTGCTTGCAAACCAAACCGAGCTGTCGCAATGACAAATGCTGCGTGCTGCGTGCTGCGTGCAGCTTGCAATTTGCAACTTGCAACTTGTGGCTGCAGCAGCTTTAACAAGAACAATAGGCGAAGCCATTTGCTGCTCTTTTGGGTGCGTTGTCTGCGCGGTTCGCCTAGGAAAATGAAGATGTACAGAATGGAGCAGGCGCACAGCTTCGGCCAGCAGGCAGAGTTGGCCTAGCCTGGGGATGGCACACAGAGTCGGATTCACAGACAACGGATTCGTAAACTGGTGTATTCATGTATCTGTGCCTGTGTCTGCAATGTTGCAACTGCTGCCGCTTGGCCAAGTTGCAAGCACACATACGTGTCTCGCGAATATACACATATGCATACACAGAGTTTAGTGGCATCAGCCAGCGGCATTTCCATTTCAAGTGTGACTCGTCTCGCAGCTCTGCTCTGTTCTAGCTCAGCTGGTTTTCGCATTTAGTAGATGCGTCCCGCAAGATATGAGCGAATCGTATCTAGAACTCGTTTTCCGTTGCTGATGTGTGTGATTGTGGTGTGCTGTGAGCTGCGCTGTTTTGGCATTTGCTGCTCGCCCAGTCATTTGCAACATGCACACCACCAACCAACGCAACGGATGTGTGTGTACGCATCTCTGTGTGTGTATGTATGTGTGTGTGTTTGTCCATATGTGTACAAGCAGCGAGATACATTCTGCTGATTACACTTGCAGATACATTATAAAATTACTCGAAATCAACCAAGCGCACTGCATGGATGTGCAGTGTGTGTGAATGTATGTATGTACGGGTATTTAGTATCTGCGTTTCTTGTATTGTTCTGTTTTGCATTGTATTTATTGTATTGTGTTGTGGGTATTTACATTCATGTCATGGTTCAGCGCACTGAGCGCTGGTTCGAAAATATGTTTGAATGCTCTGGTTCAGAATAGCAAACTTAAATATACCCTTTGTAGACAGATAATCAATTATTATTTTTTTACTAAAATTTGTTGCTGCTAACAGAAATTAAACAAAAATAGATTTGACATACATTTTGTAAACGTTGTCGTAGTATAAATTGAAGTCCAGCTCATCAAGCACATCTCGCACTTCACACACGTCATACGGCATATAATTAAACTAAATAATGTATTAGCCAGCCTTTCATCCGCATGTAAAGCTATTCAAATTGCTGTCGGGCTGTTGCGAAATGGCTTCAAAATGTGATTTCAAACTAAACCAAACTAATTGTTTTGTCAACTTTGCGTATGAATGCTTTGTGGATTAAATGCATGTAATTTAATGCCATGCTCGTAACTACTTTGTAGGCATCGAGTGCAGCCTCAGTAGCTGGCTGGGCGACGTCATGGGCCTACGTCATATGCGTGCCACGTTTTGCCGAGTTGCAACCTATGCGAGCTGGGGCAACTTGTTGGCCTGGCCAACACACAACCTATTCAGCCAGCTGCTGGCTGGCGATTGCTGGGCGCCTGCTCCAACTAGATACAATAGTAAAAGTGTGTTGGCTGACTGAGTGAATGCTTGTCGTGAGTCGCGAGTGAGTGAGTGAGTGAGTGGATCTATGTGTGTGTGTGTGTTGTTTTTGTCTGTGTGTATGAGTAGTGCGAGTACCTTGGCATAACTGGTAATGCTCGTGCAACGTACGTGTGGCACGTAGCAATGCCGGCCGGCCGGCTTGTAATTTATGGTCATGCAAAAGAGCGACTCGCATAGATACAACAAGCTGCTGCTGCTGCTGCTGCTGGGCCGTGGGCCGTGGGCTGTGGACTCTGTGGGCTTTGGTTATGCGGGCGGTGGGCGGAGGGTGGCCGGCGGAGGCGTGGGTCTTTGTGGGCTGGCAGCACTTGGCTAAAAGTTTGCAATTCGCATTCGTTTTTATTGTCATCACGTCTTGTCCTCCTTTGGGTGCATTTTGCTTTTATTTTTTGCATTGTCGGCTATTGCACCGCTCTGTTGTCTACGAGCTCATACCTATTTCATATGCAATTTGCATGACTGTATTTTTGTTCTTTTTTTCTTTTTTTTTTTTTTTTTTTTTTGTTTTTTTGTGTCTCTCGTTTTGTTTTGTCTTCCTGTATTTTTCGCTCGTCGTTAGCTTTTGTCCCTGACAGATACAACTTTCTGACGCATGATTTGTTGAAAGGCCTTTCGTTTTTTATAAATAGGAAACAGAAACTGGGACAGTGTAGGTGCCCGCTTGCAAAAAGACAAAAAAAAAAAAAAAAAAAATGAAACAGGAAAACGTATGCCATTGGGGAGAGTCAAAGTACTTTGCCTTTAGCGAAACTGACCAGCAAAAAAAAATAAAAAATGCATTTACTTGTGTGTTTTTTCTTTGTGCGGGTCGTTTGGGTAAATTCATAATGATGAAACTTCATAAATAGCACAACGTTTCACAAATGTCCGTTTTATGCCTGGATTCGGTCTATTTGCTTATGATTTATTTATTTTTAAATTTAATTTCATATTTTGAATCGGTCCTTATACATTTTATTAAATATTTATTACAAAAAAATCATTATTATTATTTTAGATAGCAACGGCTTTGCCTATTCATTAGAATACTAATTTATTATTTATTATATGTATATTTTTAACTGCAATTGCATATTTTTAATAGCTCTATTTTCTCTTTCTCTTCTTTCATTATATTAGATACATATATTTTATCTGTATTTTTGATAATGAAGCCTAAGCATTTATTCATTCATACATATTTATTAAATGTGATATTAAAAATTAAAATTTAGTTTCAAGTGATAAATATTTATGCTTTGTTCAATATGTTTTGATGTAAATATATTTGCGCATGTTGGCTTATGGTTTGGGTATGAATACAATTCAATTCAAGCAGTTTATTTTATTTAAATTTTGATTTAACGAAATAGAAAATAGAATTGATCTAATAGCATAGGAAATACTAAATACTGAATAAATTTATTCATTATTTTCAATTTTTTTAGTGTAAATATTCGCACAAATTTTATAGAAAAATATATCCATTGATGTTTGCATATAAATCATTTGCTTTGTTGCTAAAACCGCACATAGAACAGAGTGACACTCCACTCGCTTCACATTTATTATTCTTATTCTGAGGCGTGAGTAAAACTGTTCAGCTTTCGCGCAAGTTGACAGTTAGTGAGGGCTTTTTTTTTACACCTTTCTGGCACGTTGAACTGGGTCATCAACTTTATCGAGTCACGGCCCCAACAGCGACACACTCATACAGTACTTGTCAGTGCCAGAAGTATTTTGAGACGAGCGAAAAAGTTAATAAATTTTACGAGTACAACTATGAATTATTTTCATTATTGTTATTGTCGCGACTCGCGAATGCGAATGCGACTGCGAGTGCGAGTGCTGCTGTCTGTGGTGTGGTAGGTTCTTTTTGGGGGCAGAAGTAAGAGGAGTGACCCAACAATGGCCGATTAAAATCGCTGGCACAATGAAAGCAGCAACGCCGCCCGGTGCGGCTGTTAACCTTGAGGTCTATGACTCACTGACTCAGCCAGCCACTTGGGGGCGCTGCTTTCTTTTCCAAGTGCTGAGAGATGACTGTGCTGTGTGTGGATGGGTGTGTGTGTGCTCCACATCGCTAGAAGGTCAGCCGAATGTTTATGGCTGTGATCGGTCGCGACCCTTCACTTTGGGAAAGTACGAGGAGCGCCAAAATAATTTATTGTAAATCGAACGTCAAAATTGATGGGGAGCCCGGAAAATCGTGATTTTCATAAATGAATTGTTGGCGACATGTCGAACGAAAAGATAGCAACAGCATAGGCAACTTCTAGCAGCTCGGGCTGCTGGACCCGCCGGATGGGTCACGGCGTTTACAAATGACAAACTCTTTGAAATTTATGACCACGAAAACGAACTCGAAGATGAACAGAAACACGTCCTAACGATTGCGGCCTTTGTTTGCCAAGAGACTAGAGAAAGGCTTTAGCTGCATTGTGTCGTGCCGTTGTCTTAACCAGCTATTCATTTTGTTTCTCATTCTCCATCTCTCTCTCTCTCTCTCACTCTTGCAGAATTTCTTCCGATTGAATCGCCTGAGAAAACTGGGCCTGAGTGACAATGAAATCGGACGCCTGCCGCCGGACATACAAAACTTTGAAAATCTGGTGGAGCTCGATGTTTCACGTAACGGTAAGTCTCAGCATGCAACAAGTGCCGCATAATTATTATTGACATTGATGAGTTGCTGTGCTCGCTCGCTGTGTTGTGAAAGCTCCAGATGCGCTACTCAAACGATCGCGTTAGCACGCGCTCATCAATCGAACTGACTGACAGACCACATGGCCATTTGGCGATACAAATGAAGTCGCTCAATGCCTTGTGGAAAACATTTGTATATCAGTTCCAATTGCACCTGACAGGTGACACGCTGCTCTCTGGCCTGGCAGTGAGCGAGCATCTTGCATCTCTCCGCTCGCATCTCGTGTGGTTTGGCTTTCACCCATTGTTATCCGGCAGCAGCCACAATGGCACTCAGTAACCCACATAAACTTTGACCCATTATACAGACGAATTACGGCAATGGTCCTGCAGTCTGTCACTTACACTTGGCCATTCAGCTTCCATTATTTTTAACTTTTGCACAATGTGCATTAATGGCAGAATAATTTTCGTGGACGAAAAAGTTGTATTTTATATTCTCGCAATACTTTAATGAAATATTGCACGCACAAGCAGTCGGCCAGACAGCTGAGTTTCGGAGTCGGGGTATCGTACACGGTATACCCACATATGTATGTACGTAGTATTTGTTTTCTGCTTAAGCGAGCATAAATCCGTAAACACTAATCAGTAATTGGAGTCAAGTGCAGTGCGCGGAGCAGCGCGTATTAAAAATAAAACGAATACATGCACAAATGCAATCATATACATGTGTATTGATAGAAGAGTCGTTTTGAGTTTGGCTATCGAATACCCTATGGATATTATTGTTAGAAATTTACGAGTATTTGTCGGTAAATAACTGAACCTGGAGTCTCTTATCAACAGTATAGTAAAGAGAGTTAGTCTGCCAAATAATAGAGTAGTCTATATTTACTAGCCTTAACTAGTTTATAATATGGTTAATCATTTGACATTAAACTATAGCTATAAAACTTTTAATGATTGGTTATTAAAAGAGTATAAAACGATCAATTTATTCCATTGAAAAGTTATTCATTCATTCATGTCATTCATTCAGTCAGGGTCGGACTTCAATTTCTTTGTGCTGTAAAAAAATGATTTATGAGGCAACAAAAATAAAATTAAAATGTTTCTCAAACTGCACAGCAGCAACAGCTTTATAAATATATCTCAACTAGTATGGAATATAATTCTCCTAAATTTGGTTGCCTCAAAGTGTTGTAGTTCGCACCTGAGCAGCGTTGATAAGAACTGAAATTTGTTTTCTGATGACGTTGCATTGCATTGTTGTTGTTCTGCCAACCTAATGCGGCTTCCTATTTCCGCTTTGGCCCCAAGGGGCTTAAGCCGAACATGAACCGGCGAGAAGTATTGCATTACCAGTTTTTGCCAAGTTGATTGCACCCATTAGCCGTGTTTGGCCTGCATTTTGCAGCAGTAATGCTGACCGTGCAGCTTGTTTCTGTTGTGCTTGCTGCTTATGCATATGACCCACAAATGATCTGCAAACACACCCAAAGCAATCCGAGTGAACGGGCGGGCATTTAGAGACCGCCAATCGTCGCCTTGTGCGGGAAACTCGAGCTGCAACGGCTCCAAGTGAAAGGCCCTCAGCGACACAGATGTTAGTTTTCCAGTGATTTGTGGCCCAAGGAGAGCCATAGACTCTCAAACAGCCGTTTGTGATCTTAGCATTCAGCTGGCTTTATTTTTCGCATGATTCGGATAGTTGTGTGTGTGTGTGTGTGTGTGTGTGGGCGGCTGTGGAAAAAGCCTTTCACATTCAATTACCTGTGCTCAAATTCAGTTATTACAATTATTATTATTTCAAGGCAATGTCGCTTGATGGCTTTGAACTCGCCCGTCATAGGAAAAGCCGCAATGGGCAGGTGCTGACACACCTTGCCATATACTCACATGCACACACACACACACACATACGCTTATTTGATTATATGGCAAAAGGTATTTTTTATAACATCCAAATTGGTCAGCGCCAACAGAAATATTTCAGTTCTCAACTGTGGGGCATATTGTTAAAATAAGCGCGCTTGATTTGTTGGCTGGTTGGCTGGCCACAGCAATGGCAATGGCAGTCACGGTTGTGCAAGTGTTGGCATACACCAACAACTACAACAACAACTACGACGAAACAAGCTGCCAAGCGCAGTACGCAAAAATATAGTATATTACGTATACGCCCGTTTGCACTTGACAAAAGAATCGGACGGCAGCGACAGCGGCGACGTGCATTGAATTTGTTGCTGATACTTACAGTGGGTGATTGGCTGCTAAATGCATACAAAAATTGCATTGACCTACATAAAGTTAACTATTTATTTTGAACTTTGAACTATGAAACTCTGAATGCTTTTTCTATTCAGCTTCTATAGAAATGAAATTTATGTAGTTTGTTGTAGTAATAGTATAAGTAGTAGTAGTAGTAGTAGTAATATTACTAGTAGTAAAGGAGAAGTAGTAGCGTTGTAGTAATATCATCAGTAATAGTAGAAGGAGAAGTATTAGCAATAGTGGTAGTAGTAATAACGTTAAATAGTAGTAAAAGGAATAGTAGTAGTATTATTCCCAGCAGTAGTAAGAGCTATAGTAGTAATATTAGTAATTTATTTATTAGTATTATTTATAATAGTAGTAGGAGTAGTAGTAGTTATATTATTAATAGTAGTAGCAGTGATAATATTAATAGTAGTAGTAGGAGTGGTCTTAGCAATATTAATATTTCTAATAGTAGGAGTAATAGTTTCAATAATAATAGCAGTATTAATATTGCTAGTAGTAGTAGTAGAAGGAGCAGTAGTTATACTAATAGATGGAGTAGTAAAGTAATTGCATTACGATTACTTAATTACTCTACTCTATTACTCTTTTATAGATAATGATCTCAGTTTTAGCTTACCACCCATATGTATTGTTTCTGCATATAAATAAATAAATCATTATCCAGAAAAGAACTTAATTACTTTTCCAGGGCTACGCACTGTTGCCCCTCGACTCATTCCCTCTGCAAGAGAAGTGCAGACTAATGCAGACTTTGATTAGAGATTAGTTTGCTTTGAAGGCAGAGAGGAAGACCTAGCAGTGTTTGTTGTCGACTCGCTTGTTGATGCCAATCAGAGTATTACTTGGCAAAAATTAGAATACTTCAGCAAAAATGTGAGACGACAAAATCGATATTTATTTCGTATTGTTCCACTGTGCACAGCAGTTGCTACACTGGCAATGCTAATAAAAACATTAATTTGTATAGCTGTTACGGTGCATCAGAGTGTGCATTGGTCTGCCTTTGCGTGTGTGTGTGTGTGTGAGTGTGTGCGGGTGTGTTTGCAATTGTGCAGGTGCTGCGGACGTCGTCGTTAGCAGTGGCGACTTGGTACGAAACGTAAATCATTATGACAAGTTGACCTGCTTGCGAAACGTGCACTAGAGGGCGCTGCTAGCTGTTAGCTGTTGCTACTCAGTGCATTTCATGTTTTTGTAATTTTTTTGTTTTCTGTTTTTCGCAGTCGCGCTAATTGTTTGTTTGTTTGTATTGCTTGCTGTGTTTTCTACTTCTAAAATTTCACAATTTGTTTTCGGTGCAGTTTGCGCTGTTTGTAGCCACTTCGTGCCTTGTTTATTAATGCGTAATAATTTTTGAATTTTTCTCAAGAAAACTCACAGCTCGCCCCACAGAGCTCCTGTCAAAGCGGTCGTCCGCTGATAAGGCCAGTTAGTTTATTTTTCTTGTTTAACTAAGAGTAAATAAATACAAGTGAGAAAAACAAAAATCAAGAAATTTGCATACATATACACTTAAATATGTGAGTGAGAGAGATGGAGACAGAGACAGAGATAGTTTGAATTTAAATTTGTGTTAACTATATCCGCGCCGTGGGAACAACTTTACAGACGATTTCAATTGAACAACTTTAGAAAATTCAACTAACAAAAAGTCCAATTAAATGCCATTCATGTACTAAGGCAGCCTCGAAGTTCTCGACGATGCCGCACGAGAAGTCAACAAAATCTGTGTCATCTTTTACTCTTTGCCGCTGCAGTGAAGGCGTCAACTGGGTCAAAGTTAAGCTGTGCGCCTAGTGGTGCATTCAAAGTCTTCGCGTCGTCTCATTCAAGTGGGATTTGCCAGATTCTTGTTGTTCTTTTTCGCTGACAGCAGACAGACCTTGTTAAAGTTGCTGCTGCCTGGCGCTGAGGGCAAGTCAGAGGCAAGCACTAAGCTGCTGAAGACCCTTCACGACAGATCAAAAGGGCCTGGCAGCAATATAACTGAGAGATCTTTAATAAGCCACAATTGAAGAAATAGAGCCAAGCAGTTGGTTGACTGAGCCTAGGCCACACTTTGTTATTGGCAATGACTGGGTAAAATCTTTCCATAGTCAATTCACTGTTGGTCATAGTTCACAAAGAAAAAAGTAGGAAATAGCTGAAGAAGATAAAGTGTTCGCATATGGCCCAGCTAAGCTGTGTGAGAAAATCAAAAATTGCTTAATTAATGGCATTAAACAAAAACTATATCAAGAAGAAATCAGAAAATTGAAAAATCATTTCTTCACACATTGTACTTGGCCATAATAAATATGTACAGACGGGCATATTTGAAATGCCTGGCAGCTATTGACGTCACTGGGCGAACGCAATTAAAAACTAATCGGTAGACGAGCAATATTTTTGTGTGCGGGAAACAAATCAAAAGTTAAAAGTACGACATGAACTGCCTGCAAACATCGAAGCATGTAGCGAATATTGCAAAAATGTGTCGGAAAAAACGTAAACCAAACAAATTTTTGGAATATTAGTAAACTCGACTTGCCAAATACTCTTCAATTTAATAGCGAAGCATGATAATTACTGAAAAACGTCGCAAATATAATATATAATAATATATACAATATATAGTGTAATATATGTATCTCTCTTTATAAATTATCTATCTAGTAGAGGCATTAAAACGTAGTTAATCACAACTGACTAGGCAGTAATTAGTC